TTACTTCTGTTTTGCTCAATGTACAAAGAGGAACTACTTTTATATTTTTCCTGTAAGTAGTTTGTAATAAGAGAGGCAAGGCTACAGGAATTCTTATGACTGAGGCTGAATCTACACAAAAGCCATTTCCCAGCTCCACTGTGTATTCCTATCTCAGTTTGACCCCTTTATTGCCACATCTGTTTTAATCCAAACTGAAATCAGTTTGGAAGGCCACATAGGGGACCCATCATGTAGTCACATTGGTACAAGGAGGTGTTTCTACTTTGTATGCATGTTTACCATTTTGGTTTATATCTGGTGGCATGACCACAGAAGCTGCAAGCTTGTTTTAAAATTCCCACAACATGTGTGCCTATATGCATATTTGCTTAATCAAATAACCTTTGTTTTCCCTTCATTCTGATTGCCCCCCCTCCACTTCTATAAAGGGCAGCTAGTAAAGAAGGAGGAAATAAAATGCTGACCTGCAAATGTGTACATACAAACTCCAAATCCAAACAAAGAAGAAAAACGAATACAACACCGCCTTTTTTGGATGCCAATAAAAATAAAGGAGCTACCTTTCTATGGCAAGAATGATCAGATGAACTGACCACTTGACTTGGGGGCCCAATCACAAACTTGGCCCCAACTTCTCCCACTCTCTCCACAGTGACTTGTGTACCACTAGTTGATCTGTTGCTTGCAACGTCAGTCAGCTGATACTTGTTAGGTAAAAGAATCACTAACATAACAGTGCCACACAATTAAAGGTTTGTCACTTATATTTCAATCTAGTTTCTGGTTCTTCTCTCCCCCCCCTCCACATACACAAGTATTTTGAGCACTGAAACTTTAGGAAAGCTGTTTCTCATTAGGGGTTACAATTACCTGTCCCAGCCAGTGATGCTTAACATTGAACTAAGGTTCATGAGAGCAGGAGGCGGCAATACCTGTAAGCACCCTAATGTGTTAAACAACCATGCCAGGTAGCATTAGACGTCTCTAGCAGTGGCCTTGTGCAGAGACCATCTGCCAAGAAAGGTTAGCAAGTATCTTCAAGTTATTGTGCTTTTTGCTTAGGGAAAAACAGTGCATTTAAGAAGCCAGTGATTAAACTCAAGCTACCATGTCTCAGCTTAAAGCCATAATAAAATGGGTTTATATGCTGAAAATATTTAGGAAACGTTTGTGGCTTTAGGAGCTGAGAATGAGCAAAAGAGACAGATCTGCACAAATAGCTTCACTCTCCTACAGGTGGATTTATGTACCTCTCTCCTTGTTCTGTTTCTGGATCATTTCACTTGAATTGTGATTGCCTTGAATGATATATAATATATTTGAAAGAGTGGGCCTGCAAAAGTAAACTTGAACAAGAAGATATTTATTCTTCAGATTTAAAAATTAATTTCCTGTATTCCTCAGGGAAATACCCTCATTCTATCTAAGCTGTAACCTTATAAGAAGAAAAACGAAGAACTCATTCTTTACACCATGACTAATATTGGATGCAATAGAAATGCAATAGTTTCTTGAAATGTCTTTCTCCCTCCCTCCCCCAATCCCACACAGAAAAGTTGTGGGCTAGAATGGGGGATCTGATAAATGTTTTAGGTTAGGTTTGCTGCTCTTCTTCATGTTAGGTAATCAGATGTCATTTGGGCAAAATAAATTGAAACTACTCTACAATTTTTTTTAAAAAAAGAAAAAAGGTGAAAGTGCAGAATCTGGTTTCGATAAAAGTTTAATTTCTACCATTCCAAATGACACAGCCCTTTCCAGGAAGAATCCAAGCGTACTCAGACAGGAGTGGCCCAGCTAATGAAGATGGATTCATCTTGTTATCAGTGAGTCATTTACAAGGGCTGGAAATAACCTTAAACATAGCAGATAGCTCAATGGCACTTGCCACTAAGCCTCTAATTAATGAATTGTAGCCTCTAAATTAACAATGTACATTTACAGTTGAATTTGCAGTGGTGCCTTGAAAACAACAGCTTCAGTTTCAGGCAGTGGAGTTTGTTATTTTCAACATGGGTCAGATGGAGGTTTGCACCAAAGCCTTAACAAAGTTCAACAGCTGTGCATCCAGCTGTGAAACCAGGGAAGGGCTCCCCCAGTGAAGGGCAAGTCAAGAGTAGTTTCAACCTTGCCCTCTTGCACCTGGGCAGACACTGAAGGTAGACTGGAAATGATCCCTTTAGAAGGGCAAATTGAAAGTTTTGATTTCCTGATGACATTTTCGAGCTTCAATTTGATATGACACTCCTCTCCCGACACCCACACTAATATATATTTAGGGCTGGGCCAGATCATTCTCTTGGGCTTTAGGGAATGTGCCATTTCATTCGTAGGCAATTAAAATATTGCTGGAGGAGCCTGCAGCATTTGATGGAGCACCCTCAAATACCATTGCTACGGAGATGTAAGCAAGCTCCCCCTGAAAGCTGCAGAGTATTTACGTGCCAATTGAGATGTATTTTTCAAAACAACTGCACTAAGTATCTGATTTGTCCTTGTGCATTTTCAAGATGAAAAGCTGTAACAAGGAAGAGCATGTGGTGAGTCTATTCTACAGTTACAGACCACGATCATATCAAAAGTAGTTTAATCTCTATAAAGCTCTGTGTACGGCATGCTCTCTTTCTCCTTACATCTTGACTATGGAGAGGTTAATCCCTGGTACAGATAACCAAACAACCTCAGTGTGAGTTCTCTCACCCCTTTATAGCTCGATCATTTGTATCATCTTACCAAGTAGCAAAGGGGAGTTCTACCACATATGAATACTTCCCTTCACACACTCATTGAGTGAAAGAAAAAGAGAAAGGAATCATAGTAGAACCTTGGTGCTTTTGAAGGGTCACAAACTCTAATATCATAGTGCTATTATTCCACTTTAACTGCAATGGCTACCTTTTTTGGAATCCAGGGATTTGCAGTTTAAGAGCCAGCATGGCATAGTGATTTGAGTGTTGGACTGTGACTCTGGAAAGAAGGGTTCAATTCCCTTTTGGGCCATGAAACGCACTAGGTGATCTTGGACAAGTCACATGCTCTCAGCCTTAGGGAAAGGCAATGGCAAACCTCTTCTGAACAAATCTTGCCAAGAAAATCCCATTATAGGGTTGCCAGAGTCACCATAAGTCAGAAACAACTTGAAAGCACAGAACAATAACAAAACAACAAGAGGCATTTAGAAATCTCAGCCTAAGAGCTACTAAGCCTCCCTAAACTACAAACCCTGAATTCCACAGGAGGCAGCCATTGCATTTAAAGTAGAATATTAGCACTATAACCTTATAATGTGGTATTGTCCATAGTCTAGGAATGAGTGGAATTTTCTTTCAGTTCATTTCTTGATCAGAACATACCATCATCCACACATTTACTTTTATGTGGGATGAAAAGAACTTGAAAACCAAATATTGGAGAACCCAAAACTGATAGATTTGTTCATTCATGCATAGGGTTTTGAGTGGTAAATTTTTTAAAATGTAATAATTCTATAGTCAACCTTCTTAATACTTAGTTAAGGTTATCACCTCATTTCCTGACAGGTTCACCTCTAACACTTTTATGATAGAAAAGTAATAGCTTAGAAAAGTTACTTTTCTAAGTACCTTTAACTGCACATGGAGGATATGAGATTCTGGGAGTTGAAGTCAAAGGAGTAATTTATCTCAGTGATGGGTCTATGAGTTAGGTGGCGGTTAGGCAGACTTTGGTGGACTGCCATAGCAGAAAAATTAACCTCCCATGTTTGGCTGGAAATAAAGTAAATATCAATGGACACTTTTACAGAAATCTGGTTCCCATTTATCAACTGTACCACAGATAATATAGGTCCACCATAATCTCACTTAAATATGTGAGCTAATAAACTATGAACTGATCGATTTTGCTATGTAAAAGGTGACTGGTAGGTGGGGGCAGTAAGTGCAATATACTTTTAAACAAAATTAAATTATTATTTTTTAAAAAAAAAAATCCAAGCTCAGAGCTGTACCTATTGAATCTGACTGGAACAAGCTGGAACAATTTACCTACATTCCCAAGTTTCTTTGTATTCAAGAAAGAAAGAACTGGAATGTAAGCGGAGAATACACTGACGATATTTTTCTGGTGCTAGCATAGATCTTACGCCCCTAACAATGTGTCTAGGTTTCTGTTGATATTAATGGAAATCCTGCCTTTGAGGTGGAGGCATGAATTGTACAGAAAGACCATTGCTTGATTACAAATGTGCAATGTGTCTGGCACCCTTTCCAACCTGGGGACTTGCAGATATTTTGGCCTTGTTGTTGGTGGTGGTGGTGATGTTGTGCACCTTTAAGTTTTTTCTGACTTATGGTGACCCTAAGGCAAACATGTCATGGGTTTTCTTGGCAAGATTTGTTCAGAGGAGGTTTGCCATTCTCTTCCCCTGAGGCTGAGAGCATGTGACTTGCCCAAGGCCACCCAGTGGGTTTCCATGGCTGTGCTTGAAATCAAATTCTTGTCTTCAGAGTTATGGTCCACCATCCAAACCACTATACCATGCTGGCTCTACAAAACCCATAATGCCCATAATGGCCATGTTTCCAGGGCACCAGGTTGAGAAAGGTTGGTATAGGGCCTATCCAGACTTTCAAAATAAACAGGAGAGTCATGTCGTATTCCTGATCCCCAACCACTTTGTGTGTTCAGTTGTACCCTGTATCTTTAATAGTTATATTTGTATTGTTATGTGCCTTCAAGTCAATGGAGACGCCGCCAGACAGAGCGCTGTGGGACCGCAGCCTCCGCACCCCAGCGCTCCTGCGGCGTCCCTGGAAGGAGCGTTAAATCAGCTCCCGGCTGCTCCTCCTCTTCCTGGGCTCGGAGACGGCTCAATAAGCCGTCTGCCGAGGCCCTTTGACTTATGAGGATCCTATTATAGGCTTTTCTAGGCAAGATTTATTCAGACCAGGTTTATGACTGCCTTCTTCTAAACCAGCAAGAATAAAACTTGCCCAAGGTCAGATGCTAGGTTTCCATGTCAGAGTGGGGAACTGAACCCTGATCTTCCAGAGTTCTGGTCCAATACACAAACCACTGTACCACACTGACTCTCAATAGTTGTATTATAAGGAGAATTTTAATACTCAGTTTTCCACATGACGAGGTATTCTTGGCAAAATTCTCCTTTCTGCACAACTCACCCTCCTTTCATCATAACCAGAAAAGATGCATGAGTCTTTTCTCTCTTTTCTCCCACACAACATTCCAAACTCTAGGTTGCAGCTTCCCTGCCATGTTTTAAAATAAAAAATACCAATTTTTTCCAAAATCGGAAGTAGAGACCTAACCAATTCTAATTTTTTTTTGTTTTCCTTTTCATTTGTTCAGATGCATCCCCTACCTGAAGGTCTCAGAGCAGAAAATTGGCCCCTAAAAACATCAGCATTGCCCACACCAGTGTTAATGCATCTTTGCACAATTATTTATATTTCTAACTAAAAGCTGAGGCTTGAATTTCAGTTGGCAGAAGGACCTTTGTTAAAGTTCAGCATGTTCTATAAAGCTAAATTTATGCAATCAGAAGAAAGCTCCACTGAATTCATGTGTCTTACTCCCAGGCAACAAGGTACAGGATTGCAGTACTTTTCCGTAAACATAATTGTGAAATTGTGGTTTCTCTGGAATTTTATGATGGCATTGTTCATAATAATAATGCTACTAACTGTGTAGACTTCAGAGTGTCAAAATGTACCATTCCACCCTTTTCTGTTAGGAGCGAGATAGTACAGAAGATTACTGGGTATCAGGTTGGGTTTTTAAAAAAAATAAAGTCCTAGTAACAGGCTATTACTTTATTATTTTATAGCATATGTAGATATCTTTACAAGTATATCAATTATGTTATCTCAGAACAAAAGACTGATTAGACAACTGAGGCTAAATTAGAATTCAATAAGTCTAACATACACACACAGATCCTTTTTTAAAAATGAGTGTTTGCTGCATCTTCTTGAAAATGTGGAGGAGACACACACTATATAATAGTCGTTTTAGCATAATGTCAGGGTTTTTTTAAGATAATTTCTTCTGTTTTCAGCTCTAACCCTTTTCCTGTTTTCAGAAAGTGAGAAAAGGTTTAAGAAATGCCAGATTTCTTAGAGCCTGTTAGTGTGTACTTTCATTTATAACAAAAATTTAAAATATGTAAAAAAAATACATTTGGTTAATAAATGTATAATTATTTTATTTTATTTTATCTCTTTAAGCAAGTTTTCTGTGTTTTTCATATTTTTAAAACAATCCAAATTGGCATACAATAAACTATTGTCTCAAAAAACTATTTTTGAAATTTAATTTATCCAGTCATGCTAATTTTATGAGAAAACCAAGTTATACATAATTCATTTAGTGTTCCTAATGTAATGTAAAGAGTGCTTTTTTCCCCCAATGTTCCCACAAATGTCCATTTCCATCTGGAAAAATACCCTCTTCTCCAGATTCAAAATATTCAGAAATTTTATGTCCTTAGCCTTGACCTTGAATGCCCATGACTTGGCTGTAGCCTAAAAGGCCTTTAACAATGAGGTGATGTGCAAACTATGCCCAGTCCAAGAGGAAGCTGCTCAGGCACATACAGCATGTGCCTTAGTTATACTACGTGTGGATTATTGGAATATGACCTACATAAGAAGAATTTCAGACTCATTTGAGATGTGGTGCTGGAGAAGAATACTGAGAATACCATGGACTCCAAAAAGACAAACAAATCGGCCCTTGATTAGATCAAGCCTGAAATCTCCATGGAAGCCAAGATGACAAAATTGGCCACATCATGAGAGAGCATGAGTCATTAGAAAAGACAATAATGCTAGAAAAGGCAGAGGGTAGTAGAGAGAAAGGAAGGCTACAGGCCTTTTCAGACTACCAGAAATAATGCAGCTTGAGGCCACTTTAAGTGCCCTGGCTCAGTGCTAGGGAATCATGGAAACCATAGTTTATTGTGGCACCAGAGCTCTCTGACAGAGAAGGCATAATGTCTCAGAAAAAACTACAATTCCCATGATTCCCTAGCACTGAATCAGGGCAGTTAAAGTGGACTCAAGCTGCATTATTTCTGGCAGTCTGTAAAGGCCCTATGTGCCAGATGGATAGACTCAATCAGAGAGATCACAGGCTCGATTTGCAGGACTTAAGCAGAGCAGTGGAGGACAGAGAAGCTTGGAGGTGTCTCTTCCATAGGGTCACCATGTGTTGGGGTTGACTTGAGGGCAGTTAACCAGAAAAGCAACATGGCTGCCTTTGAAAAATATTCATAAACTACAGTTCACCCCAAATCCAGCAGCTCAGGGGTTTAAATGGGTTCCATAATGAGAGTGGAAGTGGCTCCCAGTGGCAGCTGGTAGCTCCAATGTGGATGAGGCAATGAATCCATGTTCAATGTTACCCTGATCTTCAAAAGACCTGTCAAAGTAATGAAGCCATTTGAGGGACAAGGCCATGCCTTTAAAGTTCTGACTTGTGGTTGTGATGAACTTTGCATCCCTGAAGGAACATCTGAAGGAACACACATCCCTTATGAATCCACCCGCCAGTTAAGAGTCCCTTGGCTCAACAGCTTCAGTGATACATTTGGGGATGAGGGAGAGGACCTTTTTGGTACTTGGGTCTGGAACTCTCTTACAAGGAAAGCCTATTTTGTGTCCTCTTGAACTACTTCTGAGAGGCTGGCAGGCATTCGGCCGGCAATTTTAGTAGCTTATTCAATTGCCCTTTGTTTATATAAATTTGTTGTTGCTGTTGCTGTTGCTGTTGCTGTTGTGTGCCTTCAAGTAGTTTTGACTTATGATGACCCTATCATGGGTTTTCTTGGTAAGTTTGCCATTGCCATCTTCCAAGGCTAAGATAGTATGGCTTGCCTAAAGTTACCAAGTGGGTTTCTATAGCTGAGTGAGGAGTCAAACTTGCTCTCGTGAATCATAGTACATTTCTCAAACCACTGCAACATATACATACATGTGCAAGAAAAGTTTACATTCAATTAACTTGGTGGGGGAGGAGAGAGGAGAAGTTTTACATACATTTATATTTTACATACAAATTTTACATTTCCTAGTAGACTCAGGCAAAAGCCAACTGCTGCAGCCTCTCTTGCTCTTCTTCATGCATAACTTTTGCCATTTTTGCCACACTCTGATATTGCTTAGCTATATACATTCTGGTTTTCATTTGTGAAATGTTGGAGAATATGTGTATGTTCTTGTGCATTGCATTTTTTTTCTGTTGCTGTTCTGTGTTTTATACTACAGAAGTATGTTTTGAATTTTTATCTGTTGTAAGCTGCCCAGAACTCATTAGGCAGGATATGAATTTTTAAAATAAATAAGTACATACATACCAGACCAAATGACTCATATGTAACACTGTTCAGTGTAAAAGGAGTGAATTTTGTAATATGATAAAGAGACACATGCTTTTTTGATTCACACAAGTTGAAATAGCCATCAAGGATGAATTCCCTTGCAGTGTGCCAATAAAACATTTAAATAAAAATAATCCAAACTGTTACTTTAAGGGAAAAGGAGCATTGGTTTTCTAGGAAATGGGTTCTACAGGAACAAAAAGGGAGTTGAAGGAGTCTTTTTTCCCCACAATAACTTCATCAGCAAGAACTGTATAAAGGGGAAATTACATAACATAAATAGGCTTTTTCCCCTTTCAGACATCCTGTGAAACATGAGCATTCTTCCATACCAGAAGAAAAGTGTATATAATTTAATTACTTGATAGGCTATCATGCATAATTGCTAATCAGGCTCAGACATTCTTGCAGAATTACAAAGGGAAACATCTATGTGGGTCAGAGCCTGCAAGCATCAAGGGCTGGTGAGCATTGCTTTGTATGATTCCCTGATCACAGGATATAATAAAAGGTGCATGTAGGTCCATTTATGGGCAAAATATTGACTTTGCCTTGTTGTTAGGTCTTGTTCCCACATTAGCCTTTTCAACACTTAATTGCATATCAGTTTAAGAAGTGAGGACGCTTCATAAGAAAATCCAACAATCTAAAACAGCATTTTGTGTTCATTCACAAATGGGCTTACAATGGGCAAAAATGGTTGAAATTTAGATTTCTTTCCTTCCTAAGTTGCCAGGAGTGTTTCAGTGAATGCTGTTTGGATTTGCTCCTGATAGATAAGTATAGAGTTGAGCTTTGGAAAGCAGAATGGAAAAGTTATTTTTGTGGACTACAGCTTCCAGAAGCCCTGGGCAGACCAGCAGTTTTCTAAGCAATGTCTTGACAGTATTTGATAGTATTTCAAATTAAAGCAGTATGCTGGCTGGGGAAATCTCTAAAATGGAGGAATTACATATGAACCTCACTCTTTTGTGGCCCCATTCTACTTGTTTTGGACTCACACTATGCCTTTAGCTCTACTCACTGCTGAAATGTAGCCCTTCCCAAGTTGAAATTTGACCCCTAGGCCAAAAAATGTTTCCTGTCCCCAATATAAAGGATGCATTCTTCAAGCATGTATAGTCAGCCTGCCCCATCAGTAGGATAGCTATGTTGGCATCCATTGACAAGAGCAGAACTTCAGGTCTCACACTTTTTGTATCCATGGAGAGGGTCCAGAACTGAACCCCTGTGGATGGGGTGGATCAATTGTATACATTTTCATTTGTAATAGGAAATCCCATCCCTCCTATGAATGGTGAGCTCTAGCACCTCCTGTCTATTTTGTCACAAGCCTGGGTCCCAGCTAATTAGAATCAACATTTGCACTGATGTGCCAATATAGGCCAATTGGAGAAGTCCCTTTTGTCAGATGGTCAAGGGTGCCCTGAGTACTGCACAACAGCATTGCAAGTTATGCACAGTATAGGGGGTGAGGGTTATCAGGAATGCATTTGGATCCTAGAGGCATAACCTGCAAGAGATTGGTCCTTCAGAATTTTTTGTTCAAAGCATTGCTGTGCAAAGATGCAAAAGGATTGGGGCCTTGTGAAGATCCATAATCTCCAACTCTGTATTAATGGAGCCTTCTTACTACCAAGGGATGGCCTTAGTTCTGAAACAGTGATGATCTGAAATGTGTTTCTTGGTG